CCAAACAAAGTAGTTTCGCTTTCACAACAAAACACACAGCGCCTTCACGACATGGCGGCAGCAACAATACTACAGCGAGAATAAAAGTTACGCCTTCTTTCTTTGCATGAACATTTGGGCGGCGTTGTGCAAAGCTTCCCACATCGTGACGTAGACATGTGGGGTGCGTGTTAGAACAAGACGTTTTAAGTAGGCGTGGTTGATTCTTAACTTTTATAAAGAATATCACTTTGAATTTGAGACTTTAGTCTTTGCAACTTTACAGATCTTCTTTATGCACCAAGAGCTTGTAACACTTCAAAGGGAAAGGAAAAATTGAAATCGCATCATATGAACCTTTTAAAACACTGCTTCATAAAGCTTTGAAACCTTTGCGAATCAATTGTTTCGAAACAGTGGTTCGAAGCGCATATCAAAATGCCAAAGTCACGTGATTTCAGTAAACGAAGCTTCGTTATCTCATAACTGTTTCGAAATGTTTTGAAATTTCAATAGTTCGCCTTAGGGGGGCGATCTCTGTGAACCTGTGAATCATGCGAGTTCACTGAGATCGCCCCGCAGCGGAGAACCACTGCATCAGCGTCTATGGTTATATGATCTCAGATCAGTTTGATCAATTTGTAGACATTTTTAATGAGACATTTGTGTAATTAAAAGGATGAGTAGTAGTTAATCGTCTCTTACTGGCCTGTTTAGACAAGCTCTCCATAAAACAAACAAAACAAGTCCTTGCAAATTAATAATAATTATTATTTTAAAGACGCATAGGCCAGACACTTTATTTTTAATGGTATTTTATTATTTTGATTGCATTTAATATATTATACTTTAGTAGTTAATAGTCTCTTACTGGCCTGTTTAGACAAGCTCTCCATAAAACAAACAAAACAAGCCCTTGCAAATTAATAATAATTATTTTAAAGACGCATAGGCCTATTATACAGACACTTCATTTTTAATGGTATTTTATTATTTTGATTGCATTTAATATATTATATTTTCAAGAAAGCGTTTTCATTGGGTTTGTAAAAGCTGTTTTTATGCATGTTTTTGAAATAACTCCTAATCGTTTTTATGCTATATATATATATATATATATATATATTCTGTGCTTCAGAATACGTTATGAACTATGCTTAAAAAACTGCCCTTCTGCTCCTGCTAGGATAACTTCAAATAGGACTAAGCAGTGACCTTGACATTTAGGAAACTGTAGGTTGTTCTCTAATTTTGATCTCCACTGTAGTTTTTGAACACAGTACCATGTTAATACCATAGTATTTTTTGAAGAACCATGTAAATACTCTTGTATATGAATATTATATTGATAAAGAACTATGGTATTAGTGCCTGATAACTGTACAATGGTTTTGCCACTTTATTTTTGCAAATTACTCCTTTAGCTTTTGTCTTATTTTCTTCTCATTTTGACTTTCTCAATCCAACTATTCCATCATTTGATCTCTGCCTGTTATATTTTCTGTTCTTTTGTTTGTTTGATTGTCTTTATCCATATATCCATTCTTCAAACTGCTTATCCTCTGTAGGGTTACCGAAGGGCAGGAGCCTATCCCAGCATTTTGGGCCACAGGCAAGGGAAACACCCTGGACAGGTGGCCAGTCCATCAAAGGCCTCACACAGACACACACATTTGCACTCACAATCACACCTGCAGACTGGTATCCAGAGCAGGGACAACATTATCATCTTTATCTCCCTTTTCACATGTTCCCTCACTCATCCCTCATTCTGGTTTTCATGAACTGACATTTCATATCTTTGGGTTGATTAGAAATGTAAGCAAATTAATCACTTCTGTAATCACCACAGCAGTGTACCAAAATAACAAGTCTGTAAGCTCACAGTATAACTGTGCCCAAGATAGTTAATTTATCACCAGTATTATAGGCTGAGTATGACCATATTCATTTAAAGGAATAGTTCATTCAGAAAATGGAAATTCTGTCATTATCTCACCCAAACCCATGCTGTTTTTTTTAATGCAAAACACAAAAAAATTCTGAAGAATCTGAAGAATTTTCCTTTCATTGACACATCATAATTTACACAACTTTCTTTCCCCAAAAAGGGAAAAACACTATAAAATAGTGTTTTTGTTTTTTGCTGGATGTAAATGAGCTGTGTGAAGAATCTTCCCCTTTTGAAAGCCACAAACAAAATAACAGCATACAAGTTTTAAATATCAGTCATAAGGGTAATAAAAATAATCACATAATATTCATTATACATTAATTCCTTTAATAACTGAAGAAAACATAGCAAACACAAATTCTCTATCAAAAGCTTCAATTGATGCTGTGTTTCATTAATGCAGATGAGAACATTCTTTGTTCGACCGGTTGTGAAGCACGCCAAGGATTTGGCTTAAAAAACCTTGGTCGTTGATGTCATTAGAATGGGTACACCTGAGATGTTATAAATAGACATGAAATGGACACACCTTCAGGTTTCTTTGTCTTCAAGGACCATTTTGTGAGAGTGTGGTTTGTGCTCTGTGCTGCTTTGCAGTATTTCGTTTGTTTAAAAGAAGAAAATAAAAAAAAAGTAAAAGAAAATTTAATCATGATTATGTCAAGGGATTCTGTGAAGAGATGCGTGCCTCCATCTCAGAAATTCAGCTTTTTAGTCAGAAAGAGCTTTATTGCCAAGTATGTTTACACACACAAGGAATTTGTCTTGGTGACAGGAGCTTCCAGTGCAGAAGTACAGACATAGTGCAGACATACATAGGAATTACACCGTAGAGATGAAATATAACACTAATATAGGAAAAACAGAAAAGTAAATAATGCAATATAATACAGAAATAGAAATATAGAGAAAAAACAATTGTTTAATCAATGTACATATATGTTATTTACAAGTGTACAGTTTATGTAGTTTACAAAGGTACAATTTTCAGATGCTGTGTATAAATGTGTCAGTTGTAATGGACAATGTAATGGACCATCCAGGTGGATGCTGCACACTGGTGGTGGTTGAGGAGATCCCCCCCTTCTATGTAAAGTTCTTTGAGTGCCCAGAAAAGCGCTATATAAATGTAAGGAATTATTATTATTAATAATGTATAGTTATGAAAGTTTTAATTGTTCAGGCTGAATATAGCCTGCGGGAAAAAAACTGTTCTTGTGCCTGGCTGCTCTGGTGGTCGGTGCTTTGTAGCTCTGATCAGAGGGCAACAGTTGAAAGAGAGATTGGGCTGGGTGTGTGGGGTCCAAAGTGATTATCTTAGCCCTTTTCCTCACTCTGGAGGTGTAAAGATCTTGGAGGTTGGGTAGGGAGAACCAATAATCTTCTCATCAGTCCTGACTGTCTATTGTAGTCTCTTGATGTCTGATTTGGTAGCTGAACCAAACCAGACAGTTATGGATGAACACAGGATGGACTCAATGATGGCCGAGTAGAACGGTTTCAGCAGCTCCTGTGGCAGGTTGAATTTCCTCAGTTGGTGAAAGAAGTACAACCTGTGCTGGGCCTTTTTAGCAATGGAGTCTATATGAGTGTCCAACTTCAGGTCCTACTTCAATGACTGTACTGTAGCCACAGTCCATGATCATCTCCACTCTTTTGAGTGTGTTCAGCTCCAGGTTGTTGTGACTGCACCAGACAGCCAGCTCTTTAACCTCCTGCCTGTAAGCAGACTTGTCTGTGTATAAGGCTGATGATGGTAGTGTCATCTGCAAATTTCAGGAGCTTGAGAGAGGGGTCTTTTGCAGTGCATTCGTTCCTATACAGGGAGAAGAGCAGTGGAACCAACGCTCTCTTCCACCTTCATTACCATGTCTGTGGTGAGGCCCTTGAGCAAGGCACCGAACCCCCAACTGAAGAGTTGAAGAACTGAAAAGAATGAAGAATATCTATCATCCAGCAGTTTTAATTTTGACTGCCAACTCTTTAAAATACATCAAAACAGCACAGAAACAGTATTCAGTTGAAGAAAAGATGTAAGTTATTCTCAGTACAATCATCCCCATTTAAATCATAAAGTTTGAAAAAATAGATTTAAAATCATATAAATCACTGAGACAGCATGCTGTTGTTGCACATAAAATATCAATGTTTAGAACAGTGCAAATACAAACACCATTAGAAACTCTAGTTCAGCATCACACACCATGATATGGGTTAAAAAAAACGTTTCTCTCCAAAAAGGTGCCAGTTTTAGCGTTTTGCAATAAAGAAATAAAAATAACTAAACCTAAAATAAATGCACATTGTTCTAGAAGGATGGCAAATTCATGCCATACCTTTTACACATTTACTCGAATTGTTATGCTGATAATACAATTTGTAAAACATGCAAATAAGTTCAAACATCAATTCAATATCTACTATTTCCTGAATATTATGAAATTCAAGATGGCCGCCCCTGATGACGTCATAATATGCAAATTAGATGAGTATATTTACACCCCACATAAACTTTCGGTCATGTCCAACATTTTTCTAATTTACAGTAGATCTCTATCTTTAAACCCTTTCAAGCCACAAGCTTTTGAAATCTTGATGTCAAAATCCAACATTTTTTCCAAAAAACCCTGGCGCCTAAAGGGTTAAGGGGCTACCATGTCCTAGTGTGGGTGCACAGCACTGTGGTAGTCTCTTATATAAGTTTGCTCTACCTCAACAGGCTAATGTAGCAGATTCTGCTTTGGGCACATGACAAAGTTCTTGCCCCTCAGGGTATTTTTTTATTTAAAAAATTTACATTCCGGGTATATGAATGTGGGAGCAGACTTGCTGTCCAGACAAGCTGTGACACACTGGGAATGGAAACTCGACCCCGAAGTGGTCAGTCAAATTTGGGAAAGATTTTACAAAGCAGAGATAGACCTTTTTGCTTCACATGAGACAGCACAATGTCCCCTCTACTTCTCTCCGACTCCTCCAGCTCCCCTGGGTCTGGACGCAATGGCCCATACGTGTCTTTGTCTTTACACATTTCCCCCAGTCGCTCTGTTCCTGGGAGTCCTGGCCAAAGTCCATCAACAAGGGTCTCGCCTCTTACTCGTAGCGCCTCGTAGGTTGACCAGAGTGTGGTTCTCAGATCTAATATCCCTCTTCGACGGCTCGCCATGGGCGATTCCAATCACGAGAGATCTCCTATCTCAGTATTTCACACAGTATTTCATCCCCAGCCTGAGCTCTGGAACCTTCATGTCTGGCCCCTGAAAGGGACCAACTAAAAGATGCTGGGCTTCCAGCTGATGTAGTACAGACTATTGTAAGTGCTAGGGCTCCCTCCACTAGAAGAAGTTATGCCCTCAGATGTTTCATTTTCGAAAGTTGCTGTATGACACACTGTGCAGACCCAGTTCACTGCCAAATCAACTGCCCTCAGGTCGGGTCCTGGTACACTGAGAGTCTATTTGGCCAGCATTTTGGCTTGCCATGCTCCGATTGATGCGGTCTCTGTAGGAAAGCACCCTCTAGTCACCCGCTTCATTCATGGAGCTAAGCGGTTGAGGCCCACCAGAGCAACAGTCCTTTAGTGGCACTTAGCTGTAGTGCTTGAGGGTCTGGTCGGGACCCCTTTTGAACAAGCACCTGTCAGGTTTTTGACTCTGAAGATGTTTTTAACCCTTTGAGCAGTACAGTCCCACATGTGGGATTTTTATTTCTGTGCTCCTGGGAGTACGGTCCCACAAATGGAATTTAGAATGTTCAGTGACGTCACATAACTGCCAAATTCAAACTGCTTTCGCGCTTTGGCTGGTGCTGAGACACGCTCTGCACTTGTCATATAATCGCAGTGTTTATAACCACATAATTTTTATTTTAGGTTTCAGACATTTAAATACACATAAGTACTAGTAAAACAATAAATTTAGAGTTTGGAAAATACACACGGATGTCTATGGAAGCAGCAATAACAATCCATTCAAATATTATTTGCCAACGTATTTTATTCATATCAGATACACATAGTGTAAGTAACTATAAAGTTTACTCTATTCTTCTCCCAGTTCACCAGCCACTTACTTGCATGTATTTCGGGAGAAATTGATGAATTCACATGCTGTAAATCCGACTGACAGGACGCTCTGAACTGCAGTGCGAACAAACATGGCAACGCCCATCTCACGTTATAGATCACGATTAAGCTCATTTATGATGGTTTTTAAATGACACAACACACTCACTTACACGTATTTGTGATTCGGAATATCAGTTAGTTGATGACATGGTAAGCAAGTGTGTGAATATTTTGAATAAAAAAGGAAAAAGCTAAATAAAATCGATCCATCTGTCATACAGTGGCTGCGGTGTGTCACGTGACAAGCATGACGCATCGCCATGGAAACATAAGGGGAAACATTCTAAAACAATGTCGCCTAAAAAACTCACTCTGGGAGGGCAGCTAGAATATTTTAAACTCACCAGTGAAAAGGTTCATGGCTATTACTTCTCTAAAGAGAATTGGGGATTTGCAGGTTTTGTCAGTCTCACCATCCTGCTTAGACTTTGCCCTTGGGCTGGTCAAAGCTATTTTGCACCCTCACCCTAATTATTTCCTAAAGTTCCATTCTCGACCATACATCCAGGCATTCTTGAAGCCTTCTATCCTCCGCCATTTACAACACCAGAGCAAGAGAGACTTCACTTACTGTGTCCAGGCCATGCTCTTCAGGTTTACGTCCACCTCACCAGCCAGTGGCATAAGACAGAGCAGTGTTTCATATGCTATGGGGGCTGTAACCGGGGCTTGGCTGCCACTAGACAAACAATCTCACAATGGGTGAGGGATGCTATTGCTCTAGCCTATGAGACACACAGCCAAGCTTTGACTCTAGGAGTCAGGTCCCATTCAACCAGGGGGCTTGCATACTCTAAGGCTCTAACAAGAGGTGTCCCCTTGCAGTAAGTGTGTGATGCACCAGGCTTGTCCTCCCCACACATGTTCATCAGATTCTATAGTTTGGATGTCCATGCTACCCCTGAATCGCATGTCCTTGAGTCAACATCCCAAACTCACGTCTGAGACCTCTTCAATGTTTGCGCACACACACTACACAATTTT